TCAGCCTGTCCTCATAGGAGAGGTGCTCCAGCCCTCGGATCATTTTGGTGGCCCTCCTCTGGACCCGCTCCAACAGGTCCATGTCCTTGTGCTGAGGGCCCCAGAGCTGGACGCAGTGCTCCAGGTGAGGTCTCCCCAGAGCAGAGCAGAGGGGCAGAATCACCTCCCTCAACCTGCTGGCCACGCTGCTTTTGATGCAGCCCAGGATACGGTTGGCTTTCTGGGCTGCAAGCGCACATTGCCGGCTCATGTCCAGCTTTTCATCCACCAGAACACCTTCGTTTATCCAGGGCACAGCTATTAGCACAGAGAGAGGCTTTACAAGCTCCTTCACTGCTGCCAGTTGCATTCAAAAACTATTGGAGGGGGGCTTTTAAGGATACGCAGGGGCAGTTTGTTGGCCAAAGTCACTGTTTTTTTCAGCTAAAGATACCAAGGCAGAGTGGAGGCTTAAAAGTTCAGGTCAACTCTAATTTTAACTGGAGGAGTTTTCTCACCTCTGCCTGCATCAAAGGCAGTATCACAGTATCAGGATTCAGTGTCAGCTGCCAGAGATTTGGTAGCAATGCAACCACTTTTATTCTCATCATCACTATTTAACAAGGATGAAAATAGCCACCTCAGTGCGCCCCCCTCCCTTCTGCTTGAGAGAGAGACTTCAGCAGCTGGTTCCCAAGCCCATCTTTAACCTTGGTAAGAGCAAACGCTACCAGAATCACCTTATTACACTCCATGACCCAGCTGCATCTCTGCAAAAACAGCTCCCTTCAGGTGCATTCTTTAATTCTCTGCTCCACCTCTCACAGCAGCACCATGAGGCAGCATCAACATTATTTACAACAGGAGCCTTCTGCCTCCGTACCGTACTTCGGGTCCATCCTTCCTTCCTTGTCCTCCCTCACCGGCCACCCTCCCTATTTGCCATTCATTTTCCCATACCATCCCCATCCCCAAAGTCTTCTTGGCATTGCTAAGTTCATGCATTTACACTCCTGCAGGGGTTTGTGGTTGCATTTTCACAGGGAGATTCAGGGTCCAGCTAACACATTTGCATGGCATGAGTACTCTGAAGAGTAGATGAGCCATGCCACCAGGCACGTGCTTTGACTCTTGGTGAGAAGAAAATGCCCATTTGAGGAAATGATGAATTTTGCAGACTGGATTCAGAGTACATGGCACCAGTCTCCCTGCTCATGCAACTTCAGAGCTCTAATGCCCCCTTGCACATGGAGACGGCACAAGACCAAACTGTAGGGGAACGTGAGCTTTCTTCACTCTTTTATGGTAGAAGCTCTGTTACCTCTTCTCCCCCTCCTTCCCTTGATGACAACTCTTACCTTCAGCAAGCAGGAGGAACCATCTGTGACAGCCAGGGTCTGTCTTGGGGCTCTGGCAGGATACAGTGTAAGAGTAAGCCAATGTACAAGATTGCCACACATTTCTTTTGGTATACTAACTTCTGTGGGCTAGCAGCTGCACTGCACATTAAATGCAATAATTAAATGAATTAAACTGGCCCTGCAAGTGCAGCTGGCAGTCTCCTCTCTGGTGAGACTTCTGTAATAAAATTATAATAAAAATAAGTTAGAAAAATTAAATATTTAAATTCCTACCAGTGCTGGAAGAAAGTCCAACACTGCTCTGCCTTTTGTTTGTATCATCCAAAAACCTTAGCAGCTTCTTACTAACTTCCAAGATGTGCACCTGTGCAAACATGTGGCAGGAGAGGTCACCTGAGCTGAATTCACCGCTACCCATTAACCCCCCTGTTTGTCACTGCAGACAGTTACACTGTCAGATAAATTTGATCTCAGTGTGGTAGGAGTGCCCCTCTCAAGGGGAAACTGTCTCAGCTGGAGAGTTAAAAAAATAAAACACCTGGACAGAAAATAGGCACTGGCACACAACGTGTTATTCTCATTGGCTGTGGGGAAGAGTATGCATGAAAGCACCACTCGAGGCCAATAGAGAGTTAAGAAACCAGTTACATGCATTACTTTTCAAACCTGCTTTGCAAGTGCTACAACTAAATGCATAAAAACAGGTTCTGGGAGGCCTCATATGACATGCACAAAAGCTTTTTTTTTCTCCCAAGTGCAGAAACTTCCCCCCACATTCCCAAGGGCCCGAGCACAGCTGAAGAGAAAGTAAAACCAAACAGCTTTTATTCAGCCCAGCAAAGCAGCCTGCACAGACCAGCATTTAGGGGCTCCAGAGGGAGAGATCTACAGAGGAGGGAAACACCAAGAACAACTTTTGAGGTAGAAGAAGCAAAATGAGAAGACCCTCTAGAGATGCCGACTGCTAAAAAAAAAATTGCCTGTTACAATAGATCTCAGGCAGTAGCAAACTGCAGGTACTTAATGAAGTCACATAGTTCAAGATCTGCTATTTAAGTTCTGCCACCCTCTAACATTCTCCAGCATTTCACTCTTAGCATTTGGGTGCACACATATACTCTGCGGAGCTTCTGTCACACCTGCAAAACAACTGCACGCTATGAGGCTGTTCCTGTTTCTGGTAAGCTGTTAGGAAAATTCCTTGAGATGCTAAGCTCCAAAATGCTCTAGCAGATCTGCAAGGACTGTGGCTTCCACCAGGCCTTGCAGGATCCCTGGAGACACTGGTGTTTCAGAGCCAGGTCCCTGGCCTAGATCACATGCCAAGACTTCACAGAGATGAGTTCCTGAATTAAAACCAAAAAACAGAAGCAAAAAAAACTTTTTAGAAGAGTCTACTAAATAACTTCACCACCTTAGTACTGTACCAAAAAGAGATTCCTTAAGGGGTGACCCAATGCAATGATAGTATCTGGCAAGTTGGAGTCCGGTATGGCTTCAGACATACCAAACAATGCAGCAAATAAACGTAAGAGCCCAAGACCCCTGGGATGGGCAGATGTCCCTGGAGTATTCTTTGGCCTCCCAGCTTCATACAGGGTCCTTGTACCTGTGAAGAACCTGTCAAGGCTCTTTTAACCTTCCATGGGCCCAGTGTGTTTCCTGCCATTATTTTCCTATTTTTTCTTCTTTCAGAACTTCAATTCTTCTTTCTTTCAAAACTCTGCCAGTATATTGAGGATTATATGAACATAGGTCAGGCTGCTCTGTTGTCATATCTGACTATACAGATGCACCAACACCCACAGCTTTCAGTCCTTCCTCTCTTCTCTCATTTCTCCTCTTTGTGCTTCCAAACCTTTGTATGGTGGAGGACTGGCACATCCCTTCCTCACTCTGTTTCCTGAATTTCAGGTTCAGAAGTGCTTTATTGGTCTGCATATAAGGCAAACCTTCACTTCTCAAAAGACAGAAAAAAAGACATTTAGGAAATTTATATATTTTTAAAAACTATATCTTGTCCCACGATGCCTGCCCACAGCTTATCTCTCCCCAGCTTCTGTAGGACACCCTCAGCCCACTCACTGCGCAGCACCCTGTGTGTCACCCAGCACCCCCTGCAAGGTGGAAGAGCCCCCTGCCCTGAGCCCCTCTCCTGCACCTCACCAGGGGTGCCCCAAGGTGCTGGGAGGCAGTCGGTACCGGCCACCTCGCTACATCGGGCCATTGCATGGGGACGCACAGGGGACTACAGACAAGACGCATCCCCTGAAATGGGAAGAAAACTTCAGTGCAGCTGGGG